GTCGAGTCACAAATCTTTAAAGAAGTTAAAAAATAACGTAATTGGTTGAAAGCCATGGATGACGAAATCGACATTATAAAAAAGAATAATACTTGATAGTTTCCAATTAAGAATGGAAAAAGCTGAGCAAATGGCCAAAATTTGTTCATTTCACTCAAAAATATTTATATGAGGAGCTTGATAGTTTTATCAATGAAGTTATTATAATTTATTATGCTATATTTATATCAACTTATTTTCAAGTTTTGCATTTTGTTTGTATTATAAATTTATTATTATAATATATTTTGATTGTTTAAGAAAGTCTATAACCGGTTGATAAGAAAAAACTGAATAAATATATTATTAGATTATATAGTTAATCAAATAACAAGAAAGCAGGAATAAATACCTAATCTAATCAATCAATTAATAATAGTTGATCATCACAGTTATTTTTCGATGATTGCACATGGAACTATGTACCCTTTTATACTATTGGCATAGCCAGTAAGAATACATCTTTCACTTTTTATTATCACATTTTGATATATTCTCAGTTGGTACATGAGCATAGTGTACACAACCAAAAATATTCATGTGACTAATCATTGGTTTGACACTGCTCCATGCTTCAATTAGTGTTCAATTCGGAGTAGATTTTGTTGGACTCTTATTCAAGATATAAACTGTTCTATTTAATGTTTCAGGTAAAAAGTGTTAACATATTTTTCTCTTTGAACATCGGTCTAACCATCTTGACAATCATTCTTCCTTCTCTAAGCGACACTGTTTTGTTGAGGAGTATATGTTGCTGTTAACTATCTGCGAATATTGTATTTTTCATAAAAACAACCAAAGTTCTTTAAGATAAATTATTCGCCTCAATCACTTTGTAAAACTTTAATTTTACGATCTCTTTGATTTTCCACCATGACTTTAAACTTCTTGAACACTTCGTAGGCCTATAACTCTTCTTGTAAAAATATTCTCATATCATCCTTGAATAATTATTAATATAATTAGAAAGTACCAATTTTAGCCCTATGATAGTGTCGGTTTTTTTCTACATATGTCAGTGTATACCAACTCAAGCAGTGCACGTGCTCACCAAGATCCTCCAGACAGAAAAAATGTTCGATGTTGTTTGCCAAAGATACATCGTTCACATGTATTCGAACTTGTATTAATAAATAGTAAGTGTTGAATGATATTTTTAACTTTTAACAGGTTCAAAACATTATAATTGAGATGATCGTACCTTTTGTGCTATAAATATGAGCAATCTTCTACCTTAGTTCTTAATTCCAATTTTTAAGCATACTTTATTTGCAGAGAAAATTTTCTAAACTTACTCTGTGTTAACTTTGCACGAATGACTTTTTTTTTATTATTAAATTTTGTGTTATCAGCCTTGTGATGTTTACTTGATTGTATAAAGATTGAAAATTGTATTGCTTAGATTTTTTGGCCATGAGATAATTTTGATTGATTTTAGCCGATTGGGTATTTACTAATTTATAATAACCTAATGAAATTTTTGTATGTCATCTTTTTTAAGTTTTTGAGGATAACAAATTTTCTATAAAAATGTACGCTTGTGAGGAATGGGTTGTTACAAGAATTTTCTCTAATACTCATCAGCTCTACCGCCAAACTTCTTCATCTCCTCCATTTCATCAAAGTTCAGCGTCTTCAAAAATTATTTAAAAAATTTTAAAATTGAACAATCCAGAAAATAACTAACTTTAAGATAACAGCACACAAACTAATTAATAATAAATTTAATTTAATAAAAAAAATTTAAATTAATTATATATATACATATACTATTAAATTAATTTTTTTTTAAAAATAATCAAGTTAACTTATATACATGTATTAAATTAATATGCATATAATATATATATTAGATTATCAAATTCTTTATCTTGAGAGTTTAACCTACTAAAGTTATTTGTTAACAAAATTTAATTATTAAAAAACTTTTACATTAACAACATATCTGTCTTTATAAACCCATTATTATTATTATTATTATTTAAAAAAAAAAAAAAAAAAAATTTCAACCACCAAGAACTTATAAGTTGCTTTTGATCAAAAGTTAAACCAAGTCAAACACTGTTTTAATAAGCTTCAGAGAACCTCTTTGTCCCTGAAAAAATTGAGCTCATACTAATAAAAATATTTTGTATAATTATTTCTTAACATATTCAACCCATCCATTCCATTTGTCCTTGTACACTCACTGTTTTTTTTTTTTTGTTTTATCCTAACACCTACTATTACTCATTTTTAACCATTAACAAATTTATCTAAAAGAAAATTATTATTTTCTAAATTAGTAACTAGAGCAAGTTTCTTTTAATAATCCCAAACAGCCTTAAACATAATTGTACTTCCAAGAGACATAACCTGATCAGAATGGTACGAACCTTTATTTGACCCGTTATCAACTCAACTCAAATTTATTGTAAATCTACTGCATTAAATACCACATATAGATGATTACTGAGTCAACGATGTCCAGGAAGAAAATTTGAGATCAAATATTAACACTGACCAGCATAAAAAGAGCTCTTCGAATTGTATAAACTAGTATGACACAAGGCAAATGCAACAGATCAAGTGCCAAGGGTTTGCCAAAATTAAGCATCAGAAATTGGAAGTTCGCCACAATCAGCAATGATCACCTTCTTTCTGGGTCGGTCTCCTCTATCAGTCTCCTGTGACTCTATAAGCTTGACGATATCCATCCCTTCCAAAACTTGCCCAAATACAACATGCCTCTGATCAAGCCATGGTGTCTGACATTGCCAAAATTTAGATAAGCATGTTTACCTCATGGCAATTCATCTATCTTTAACTAGAACAAACAATTTCACCAACCAATACTGAAGTTATTAACCGTAGCACCTGGAAAGATGAGGGTAAACTATTTGTCCAAATGCCAAAGAAGAAAGACTGCATTTATTACCAGTACTCAATCAAGGCTGTCTGAATTTGAAGGCATTATGATAACAAACTTTGCTATGTCTAAAAAATGGAGAGTTTTGAACCAAAAAAAAGAGTAGTGCCTTAAATGGAAGGTACTTTTCTGTGTGCCTCTCTCTCTCTCTCTCTCTCTCTCTCTCTCTCTCTCTCTCCGCATATATATTAGACAAACAAACACTCTTTGTATACTATATATATATATATATATATGTCTGTGCATAGTAATGAATTATACAAAAATAATATATTAATTAAGAGAGAAAGAGATTACAAGGACAGCTAGTAAAAGTAAATCCCTGGGAAATGAAAGGAAAAAGCCATAGACAATTAAGAAAAAGGAGACAGACATCAGTGTCATATAGGTTATTGATTCCTTAGAATAATTGACATAGACACTGAAAAGGAACAAAAAGAATATTTGCTTCTTTGCCCACAAAAGGCCGTGCAAATCACCCCATAAATAAAATTCATGGTTAACATAGTTATTAAAGATCATTGGCATGAAGTTCCAACATAAACCCAAACATCCAGCAAAGAATATCCCTCTCCATAACCCTCTATGCTCCTTTGCACAACCCCTCAAGCAGGAAGAGAAAAACACCTCATGAGACAAACCTAAGAACCCCAAAGAGTTCAATCAGCTTATTCTGAGCTATGAAGCCAGGAATGCAGAAAGAAATTGATATCTCTGACGCGTAAGAACACATCATGAAAATTGCAAGGAAAACCACTAGTGATGATCCTACTAAATACTAGAGTCTAGATAAAGACTGACCTTCATAGGAATTTTCACCTTTCAAAAGTCAGTAAAAAGCAAATTACTAAAAGTGCACTTAATAAGTTAAAAAGGTGAGAAAGTACTAACAGGAAAATGAACCCAAAGAGTCTAGAAACCAAGGACAATTATCTAAGTCTAAGCAAAGGATGGAATGATTCAAGCAATCTAAGCAAGGCCATCAAATAAGAAGAAGCCTCCTTGTCACTTGGATGTCTGAAAAAATGGAAATCTCAACAAAAATGAGGCCTTGTTGAGTAACAAAGGAAGTAATAAGATGTTAGTGATATGAGGGAAGCCCATAAATGTGGAAAAACAAAATTTAAAAAAAAAATGATTCTCCAAACAAATCTCAAAAATAGAAAAAAGAAAAAAGAAAAAAACCAAAATCATCCGCCATCTTCAATCAAAGCAACTGATAGAAACAAGGATATACCTGGTGATGTAGAAAAAATACGGGATATTGCCAACTTAGGAATTTGAGAGAAACCTAGATATCACACTAAGGTTTTTATGTTTCACACCTAAGATTTGATTGAATCATAATCAAGCATGTAGAAATTCTCAAAGTATTGTATTGGATAACAGAACGACAATCTTACAAGAAATTAGAAGGATATTTATAGAATGCCAAGTAATCATTTACTGAATAGAATTAAACTAAGAAATACTAATACTAAAAAGATTAGAAATAATACTCCTAATAAATAGGAAAACAAATATATATAAACTGAAAACATGTAAAAATGTCCTAAATAATACAATTCTTTAGTAGTAAATTACTACCATGCCTATGTGCCATCAGTTCTCCCCGAGTGGGAAAAACTCAGGTTTGTCGAATTGAAATCATAGCATGTAACATGCATGGCAAGGTTGAGCCTCCTGAGATCAGCCTCTCTGATCCAAGCACAATCAGTTTCAGCACGTCCTTTCCACTTGACTAAAAACTCATCATAGGTAGACTCCTTGTAGTTATCTCTTGATATTCAACATTATTTTTTATTTTGTCCTTGAGGCTTGTAGCCAATTATTTAATTGATATATAGATGTAATTATATATATATATTTTAAACAAATCTAATAAAAAGAAAAACTGATGCGGGCATGGATCATCTTGGGTCACATGGAAGAGACATCATCATGCCAAGTGGACCCATAACAAGGAGGCAGATCCAAGGATTACAATAAGCTTTCCAACTCTTCATCCAAGTTTGGATTAATAAGTAAGATGAGTTTAGATCTACTAAAGAAGTCCAAGGAAATAAGTTACCCAAGCACTTAATCAAGGGCATAATGATCTTATTAACTTTTTTCATGCACATGATGGAAATTTGTAAGAAAAGAAAACAATCGGCCAAGAAAAGAGGGAAGACCATATTTATCATAATTAAAAATTTAAACTTTAATTTTAGTTAATTTCTTATGTAATTGCACCTACTTAAAAATTTAGATTTTATTTTTAATTAATTTTCTAAGTAATTACAATTCTAATTAGAAGATTTTTATTACTTTTTTATTTACATGACTTACTCTATAAATAAGTCATCAAGTTTTTATTATAAGCATTCAAGATTAAAATTAATAATATCGTGAGTTTTATTCAACAGATGTGTCTTCATCATTCTTGTTGAGTAAGGAGTAGATCTACTAATCAAAATAATTTCTTATGACATTTTTCCATTATTCTTTTAATTCTCTGTTTCTCAGTGATTTTAATTTTTATCATTCTTGATAGAAGGTTAAGTAGGGAGAATTTTCATAAAATAAAATTCTTTTGGTGCCTTAAATAAAATTGTGTGAGTTCTTGAACACGTTGGTTGATCTTAGGTTTCATATAAAAAACTATAGCTATTTATTTTTTTGAAATATAAAACTATAGCTATTTATATCTTATTGCAGTTTTATTCCAACCTTTTTCCTACCCAATCGAACATTATAACAAAGTTGCAATAAGCTATCATAATTTCCAACCAAATATTGCAATGTAACCACAATTTCATTACATTGCAGCATTATTCCATTACTACCAAATTACTATTGCATTCCAACTTTATTCCGTTCAGCGAGCCAAATGTACTTCAAGTAAATAAATATAGAAAATTTCTTTGTCTATAGCCATGCTACTCTTTAAACAAAGATCTAGGTTGATCATTAACAACTAATTAAAATGTCATTGTAAAGAGACAACTCTTAATCTAGGGTCTCTCTCCTTCTCCAATTATTTTCTATCAAGGACCTTATCCAGAAACAGCACAACTACTTCCATTGCAATCTCTCTCAAATTCAATTTAAACAGCAGACCTTTTTGCTTATGCTTTCTCACTTCTCCACTGCTTAATTAGCAACAAAAGAGCCATCAAGGATTTGCCTTCTGCTACACTTTGGGTGGAATAGATAGTGCCATCAAGGACCTCACACAATCTCCCAACTAAAATATTAGTGATGATCTTATAAGTGACAGCCACCAAAATAGTAGGTTTTTAATCTGTGACTTCTTTGGAATGATCCTTTAATACTGAGAATGGACTTCATACTAGTACCTACTTTCCCAGTATGATAAAATTCTTGAAAACATTAAAAACATCCCCTGAACAACATGAACATCTCTAAAAGAAAGCAATGGAGCAATGGAGAAACTACTGGGACTTAAAGCTTTGTCCTTCACTAAATTCCACACAGCTCCCTTAATCTCTTCCTCCTCAAATAATTTCTCTAACAAACTAGTTTTGATCCCCTCAATAGAACACCAAACCAGACCTTTATGAACACCCAACTACTGTTCTTCCTCACAAAGCTTCCTAATAAAGCCAGTTGCTTCTTACTTAATGGGGGAATAGATGTCAAATGACTTTGCTGCACTCAATTTGCAACTCCTTAATAGACTTTTCTGTTGTCTTCCTTTTTTCATTCTATTAATAGCCATTAGGTTGTCCTCATTTGAATTTGGATTCCTAGGGCCAATTTGTCTCCTCAAGGGAATGTCCTCAAACTCATGACTTTGCTGGGCAATTCTGTAGATATTATTGCAATTTTGTTTTTGGCAAAAAGGGCTCAAAATTCATGCATCTATCAACTTCTCACCACTAAATTAGACTATTCTATTCGATGCAAATATTTCATCATGTATTTAAAATACTCTTAAGGCTAACTCATGACAAAAGATTAAAACTAGAGAGAGGGAGTAGAGGAGAAAAGAGCATTAAAGTACCTTCACAGTACAAATGAAAAACTGACTCCCATTTGTATTAGGGCCTGCATTTGCCATACTAACAACTCCAGGTCCAATGTGCGACACTGCAAGATATCCTGCTTATTATATAAGGTAGAAGTAAAATTTGTAAACAAAAACAAAACTATGAAGCACAGGTTAATTTTCATCAATGTAACAGCCATATGGCATAGGTATTGTACATAAACTAAAATCAAGATAAGAATATCAGATGACCTAGACCATCATTCTTATCTTCTTTCTAATTTCCCGAGATAAGGATATGACCTTCAAAGGCTTCACTTAAGTGGGTTTAAATCCGTAGCATTTTTACACAAGGACAAACTTACACTTGAAGTTTTCATCCTTAAATGTCCGTCCATATATACTTTTGCCTCCAGTTCCCTGCAGCAAAATTCAACGTTCAATATGTCAACGTAAAATTAGGACAAAAAGCATGTAACTAAATGTTTATGCTAATGGGCAGTAAGAAAATTCATACATTCACACCTCACATAAAAGGAAGTAAAATTATTAGGTAACGAACAAATTACTAAAGCCACTAGCAGTTGGTGTATACTGCCTCAAAAAATTTTCTAAAAAGTCATTTTACTTCCATGCTAATATCACATAAGATTGACTAAATGACACTATATGTACTGTCACTTTCCCAGTATGCCAGCAGGTTAACGAAGCAGATTCAAGAAACAATACAAAAGAAACTCAAAGAAACTTCCCATGCAAGAATACCAAGGAAAAAAAGATTTTATTGATGGAACCAGCAAGCTCTGAGGTTACAATACAGCAACATACTTACAAACCTAAAAAGAGAGAATGTAAAATATTAAGTGAGATAAAACCGAGATCTTCTAGAAGATACATACCCCAATAGTATGAGATACTAATGTAATTATTATTTTTATGTATTAAGGATAATTAGCTTATTTAGGAACTACTAAAACAGATGCATTGTTAGTTTGGGAATTTTATCTCTTATTTAATTACAAATTTTTTTCTGTTTTCTTTGTCATATTAGGCTAAGTATCATAGACCATAAATACAGAGATGAGTTTTTTTTTTTTGAAATAAACAGAGATGAGTTATCATTACTTCACTTCTGTGGCTCGGAGTAAACGCAAGTGCCAGGTATAAGTATATCTAAGTGTCTAACTCGATAACTTTATAGTCAAAGATACAAGCTCAGTCAATAAGGGTCAAATTGGATACTGGTACTTTGATTCATGAAAAAACATCCGTTCTGAAATATGAAAAATAATAAAACATAACTTTTGGGAAGCCATAACTATGTCATATACATGATGAAATTCAGTTCTTAGCACAAAAAATAAGGCAGACTAATATACTAATCAATAATTTTTTTTTTGAAAGGATACTAATTAGTAATATATAATTGATTAAGTACTTCTACATATAAATGTTCAGGATTTAGACATTCTAGAAAAAGTATTTCCATTTATTTGTTCTTTTTCAACTTTTAATTGAAGGCAAATTACAAAAGAAATTACTGAATTTTAGGATAATATAAAAAAAGAAAAACATGACTGCATGTTGGAAACCTACAGAAATATAACTTAAGAGATTTTCTGTTAGTTTTGATGTCATTTAACTAAGTAGACAATATAATATCATCAAAAAGACCTGAAAATAGCCAAAATACCCTCTCCAACACCTCTAGCACATTAAAAAAAATTTATTCTTTCTCTTATTTATTAATTTCTCTACCTGTTCAACTGGATAAACTCCAAGCAAATAAAAGACGAGAGCAGGGCCTCACTTTAGTCCATTCAATTAACCTATAGTTGATCATGTGTACTAAAAATGTTTACTACTTCATGATTAAATTGGAAGTCTCTGTATTAAGTACACTATTTGCTTGCTAATAGAAGTGAATGAAACAGCTACAGATAAAAAATAATAGAATTACCAATAGAAATAGAATATAACCCAGAGAAAGAAAATAATAATCCTAATGGTGAATTAGTAAAGTACATAAAAACTAATTAGTTACATTACTATAATTCTTCTAAGGAGTAATAAGGTCAAATCTCTTGCACTCTATCAATTTCTGGTTAACCATGACCAGAATGGAGGATGTAAAACACCTTTACAAGTAATTGCCAAGATGCCTGGCATTAGCAGACTCATGCTTCATCACCACACAAATTAATGTTTTTCTTAAACGAAATATCATAAAGATAAGGGAGGAAATAGTACAAAAAAATGGCGGATAAGATATCTTGCTAAAACAAAGGAAGTCAAAACAAAACAAAATATAAAAAGAAAGCACCGAATACAAAACAAAACACGTCAAAACTTCAACCAAGGACAGTGAGGGAGATGTCAGAGTATTTCCCATGAGCCTTGTCCTGCAAAGAACGGACTTTAAAAATCTGGCGATTTCTTTCTATCGAAATAGTCCAAAGAGTAGCAAACAAAGGCTTCTTGCCACAATGATCTAGCATTTACCTTAATTTCCAAAACCACCAAAATTTGTATTGATGAAACAATCAAAAGGAGTAACTCACACTAGGTTAAAAGTGTCAAGAGCCTAACCCATTTCCATGCCATTCCACAATGTAAAAAGAGATGACAATGTGTTTTCCTGCTGTTATGGCACATAAAACACTTGTCTGGAGACAAAGGTTGTTTAGACCGAGGAATTTGCAGCAACTCATTAGGGTTAAACCGGTTTAGGATTGCAGTTCACACAAAGACGTTCACCTCCAATGAGACTTTGACTTGCCAGAATGCCTTGGTAAAGATACTTTGGTAACAATCAAGGTTCTCTGTTATATGGTTGAAAAAGGATTTGCAGGTATATGTATCCAAGGAGTCAATGGTTCATATCCTGCAATCAGATTGCTGGGAGGGTTGAAACAATTGTAACAAGTTCAACACTGTGAGGAGTTTAATGGTTTCTCTATCATTCAAACCATGGGAAAAATGGAAATTCCAAGCCAGAGAAGTGTTGGAAGTGTAAAAGAGTCAATCAGGGCACTACTGGGGGAAGATATGCGAAAGAGACATTGGAACTGGATAACCAAGGGTTGGTCTCCCCTCCAAAGATCCTCCCAAAAAGGACCTAGGAACCGTTCCCAACTTTATACCCAGTAAGGAGCTTGTAGATGTTAATCAAAGTTGAAATTGACTTCCATGGACTTTTGTGGATGGTGGATCTCATAGCTATAGTATCCCAGCCATTCCACTCTCTCCCATGAACAATTTTTTATCACTTTATGCCACAAAGAATTAGGTCCCTCCGAAAAGCATCATAGCTATTTAACAAATAATGATAAAGTTCCTAAATTTAAAATTTCCTATGCCCAATCTCCGAAATGTTCTACCTACAACATACCTCCCAATTAACTAGATGATCTCTCCTATCCTCACGATTCCCTTACCATAGAAAATTTCTCATCACACCCTCTAAGTGCTCAATTATACTAGCAGAGACCTTAAATAAGAACGTGTAATAGATAAGGATACTAGACAAGCATGCTTGTAGAAGAGTAATCCTACCAAGGAAAGAAGACCCCTTTTCCAATTATCTTAACATTAGACACCTCATCCCAAAACAATTTACACCTAGGGTTATGCTAGAGTCAACGAGATGCTAAGATATGTAATGGGTCATGCTAGAGTCACACAATCGATAACCTCCCCTAGATTTTCATTGTGCTATCAGCCATATTACTACAACCCACATTTTGCCATGTTGATGAGAAAACGAAACGTAAGTTCAAACAGTCTAACCAACATAAGTGTATTAAAGATAGGTCTATTGTCATGAGATAGGAATAGGATTATCTCATCTGCAAATTGGAGGTGGGACACCTGAACTCTATCATTCCCAACAATAGATTCTTCAATTGCTCCTTTCTTAGATCCTCTAATAAGCATCCTACTTAAACCATCTACTACTAATGTTGTGTTTGGTTGATTTTTTTAATGAGTAATTAATGTACGGTAAGGTTTGATAACTGCACAAGATGACAATTACAAAACTATACTATAGTTGAAAAGATTGTGTATTAATATATAGTAATGACAACTGTTTTGTTTGAATTGATATGATGGTAGGGTTGTATATTCAGTTAAATTACCAATTTGTCCATGTCTTATTGTATGTAATATTAAATGAAAAAATATAAGGAAAAAAACTCATCTAACTTGTAGTTAAGTCATTTAACTTGTTAAATTATTTAAACTGTAATTTTTAATAAATTTTTTCTTAAAATATTAAAAAATAAATTTATTATGAAGAATAAAAATTTAATTTTTTAATACTTAATATAAGAAAAACAAAATTTGGATTTAAGGGTAAAACAAGAATTAATAAATAATTGTGAAAGTAAAATGGGAAGAAAAATATTCAATCATTAAAAACAACCGAATCGGTTTGAAAAATGTGAAAAAAATTGAAAAATAATCTACCACTAAAAACCACCTAACCAATCATACCATCTATTTGGAAGTGATCTAAAAAAGACAAATCCAGTGAATTATCATACTGCCATTAATAGTTTATCATCCAAACACAGCATAAAGTGAAAAGGAAGAGAGATAGTTGATCACCTCATCTGATCCTTTGAGTGCCCTGAAACCACTGCTAGGCTCTTCCATTCACTAACACCGCAAGACAGACAAAAAACAGGCACCCTATCATCCATTGATCTCCATTTAGGTCCGAAAGCCTTGTGGGCCCCACTGTGTCCGTCGAATCTCCAATTCACCCTATCATAAGCCTTTTCA